AGACAGCAGCAACTATTTTTACATTTCTTAAAATTGTTCTTTTTATATAGTTCACAAAGACGTATTAAGTCATCGTAGATAATATATCATGAATCCTTATATTCTCGTTGAGATATGAAGTTATATTTTAACTAAACTTTTTATGTATAGGGACATATCTTATCTATTTTGTATCACAAAAGTAAGACATCAAGTATTTGAACTTAATAAATAATACAGTTAAATCAATGTTTAAAATAATCAGTTTGAAGTGTTTAAACCAATAAGTGTAATATATTTTGAGATTTTTAATACGTTTTATACTTTTATTAAACAAAAGATATTTAGAAAACAACTCGAATCGAGCTAATATTTTATGGAAGAGTTTTGCTTTATTTTTAAAGTTCTAAACCTTATGATGGTGTGATGGCTAACTACCCGTATCCAGTAGTTTTAGTCACTTTAAAAAAACGACCTTATGTGAAAAAGAGGTAAAACTAGCCAAGAAGAGACAACGGGGTTAAAATTATTTATTTGAAGAATATTTATAGATGGGAGGAGAGTCGCTAAACACAATCGACCGCTATATTTCACTAGACTAGGTGGCCATAGCGGTGCAGCCATTGTCTGAATAAATCAAACTTTCATTTTCTTAATGGTTTTGTTTTGTCAAAATTCCAAAAACTTAAAAACCGTCTCCGGTCCTTATGCCAAAGAGGCAACAAATCAACCAGACAGCTATAAAGTGAACAGAAACGGATTTTTTCCTTGTACACTTCTGGTGTCGACAATAATCATTCCTCAATGAGCGGAAGACAAATTGTAGTGAAAACGATTGATTGCCTAGGCCAATAAGTATTTACCCAACAAACTTAGTTTGATATATATTCCATATAATATTTATCGAAAATTGTCCTAATTAGTAATTAGAGATTTAAGACTGAACAAAGTATTAGTTGTACAGTTATGAGTTATATTTGAAAACTAGTTTTGAGTGTTATAATCTTTTCTTATATAATAAGATTTTTCTCAAATATATTGGACCACCAGATTTATGTTACCCCCAATATTTAAATTTGATAATTGATGTTTTCGAAGTCGGTTTATTATTTTCATATAAGTTATTTAAAAATGGTCGGAAATTAGAAGTTACAAAAAAAAACTACAGATAACAAAATATGATCATATTTTTTCTTCATAAACGTTTTTAAATTAATTAATTTTAGTTAGAAAATTGTAATACAGCTTCAATTTTTATTTCGAAGAACTGAAATGTAATAAAATGTTCACTAATACTAGAAAATATTACTATTTTTAAGTCGAATTAAAATTTTTATTTAAATCGTAACTACAATATATCATTTGTTTGTAGAAGTTATGTAAATAAAAGTACTAAAAGCAACGGTTGTAATTTATACATTTATGCAATTCTCTAATCTATATGTTGATTTTTATTTATTGATCACTATCTAATCTATCATGTCACCCGCATTAAAGTATGCAAATGCATGAACATTCACGCCCAATAACCAAAACGTCACTGTCGTTTTAAATCATGAAATATTAATTTTATAACATCGTAAAACGTAAAATGTAACACATTGAACCGAACAACATTCAGTGAAAATAACTTAAGAACTGAACTTAATTAGATTAGGTTAAAATAGAACTTTTTAAAACTGTATAATATAAAGAAGATAATTAATTATTTAAAATTTATTTTTGTTTATCTGCCTCACCAAATGCTACATCAATGTACACCGACTTTGGAGGAAATTTTGTATTTTTAAAAGTATTACAAATTTGTTCAAGGTTTTTAAAAATTAACAATTTTGAGAAATAAATAATAATTGTAATTCAAAATACACATTATGAAATCTTCAAGAGCTTTAGTCAATAAATTATGGTCCCAAGCAGTATTTTTGTTATCGTCCTTTCATCTAGGCTTGAGTCAATAAATACGGTACATAAACATTTTAATGGTAGGTTTTATTATTGACATACAGAAATACCAATTTTTTTCAACAGAAAATACTACTTATTTTAAATTCACGATCTTAATCTTAATCAGCGCAACGAAATGGTTTCTACAGTATAAGAGGAAGTTAGTAAGATTACAAATCGTTTGTGTTTCGTAAGACAATCCCCTTATAATAATATAACTGATGGATTTGTGTATTGGTTCATTTCTCTGTTAGGTCTTATCGGTCCTCTGCAAATGACTGTGCGCAATAAGTCAACAGCAAACACAAAAGAAACTGACTGAGAAGTCTTATTATTATGGACTCGGGATAAATGCACTAGCATTACCCCTCGGCGCATACGGGAAATGACCACTGGAAAGGGGACTTATGAGTCATCTGAACTTTGGAGGGTATATCGAATAATATAAAGGGTCTACTCCGGGGTCTACCGTCGCCGTCTTGGTTTTATAGGCGGAAATAAAATTTGGAAAATATTATAAAAATGATAGGAAACAAACGCCCAAACGTCCTCAGGGAACAATTGATCAATATTAATTTTGTTTGTCAAATCAAATGAATTTAGTAGGTACGTATAATATGTTTATTCGTAGTTTTATTTTTCATGTTTTCTCGAAAAAAAAATTAGATATTGAAAATTCTGCGAATATTCAAATACAATACATAATTTAAAACATTGTACAGTTTCAAGCTAATACCAACGTTTATTTTTCTCCGACTGTGTTGTTGAACTTTATGTAAATTGTATTGCTTGCAACAATCGACAATTTTGTTTGTTCCAGTATTAACTATTTACATAAAAAAAAAATGGACCATAAAAATATTTAAAAAATATCATGTTATTGCTTGCCGTTTTTTTTTTATGACGGTCACGTTTAACATGGTAATGCGCTCGTTGGTATGACTTCGCATGATCTGTTAACTTCGCGCTAACACGTACAATCATTGTCGGGTGGTATCATTCCCGTTTGAATAATAACGTTATTAACCATATAATTTTTCAAGACCACACACGTAGAATCGAGTTGACAAATGACAAGTAGGGATTACTAGTGTCTAGTATTTTGCTAAATAAAAATGTTTTCATGAACATCGATGCATACAATCATTGAAGAATATTTATTTATAATATTAGAGGCCTATCTATGGAAAATTAATAATTTTAGAATAATAAATGATAACATTAGGTATGTAGGTATAGTCGGCAAAGTCATAAATTCATTAATGTTTTCCAAATTTTAAATTTAAGCACAATTACTCAGGTTAACTTTAAGTTTCAGGAGTAATTAAATCTATCAGTATTTACTTTAAAAACTATGTATACCTTCAAAATATACACAACTAAGGAAATAAAGACCTCGGCCAAACCTTTTTCAAAGTGGATTGTGGATAAGAAATACGTGTAATCGATTAGTAAATTAATTGACAATACCTATACTTAACAAACAAGCAATATGTATTTCTAACAAATATTATCATCGAAACACTTAGTAGTAGTTGCTATATTAAGGTAAAGAGTAGTACGTGTTAATGCTAATAGTGAAAGTAAAATTAAAAATCGTCAAATATTTTATGTGAAAATATATAATATTTACTGTGTACCTACAACAAGATGTAGGTCAATTAATTATACTATCCAAATAAATCTCATAAAAGTAAAAAACCAATTACTTTTCATTCGATTGCAAATATTTAACATTAGATTTACATAATAAATATCTGTTGTCAAACACTAAAAACTTAAGTATAATATTGTAAGAATAATATTATTTAATATTTCAATTCTACTATGGAGTCTAGGTTGAATCGTTTTTAATTCTCTTAAACTCAGATACAACTATTATACCTTTTCAGACTTATCCATCCATTGTTATCAATAAACATATAATAACGAGTATAATAATATAATGTAGGTACAATTCAATTTGCATTTTTCGTATTTATGGTGCATAAAATACGAGTGTTATTACAGACACGAGATAATAATATCGATTGTATATTATGTTTATTATTATTTTGTCAGTGGTGCGCTAAAATATTTCCCCCTAGATATTGCAGATACTGCTGCAGCCGCAGCGGTAGTTCACCTACATAAGGTTATTAGGTATTATCGCATCGGACATCGGTGGCGGGTCCGATTTGTATCCGGACAAAGCATAAAGAACGCGTTTTTATGTGCGTTGTCCGCGCGTTATCCACTGACTTTACGACCACGACTCCCTCTATAGTTCTTCTTCCGGTGTACACACAACAATAACGAGCAGAGTAGATAAGGAGCACAGAATATTGTATACAATGTGATGCACACCAGAATTATATTATTTTATATTAGAGTATAGAGTAGGTAAGTAAAGCATTGAAATATTATTAAAGGAGAAAGCTCCTACACGCTGGAGCTATAATAATATACCTAATGCGCAGTCGATTTATCTAATCAAACTCAACACACATAAATGGTATACCTACGCGTACTACTCATGTTGTTTTTCCACTCTTTATTCGATTAAGCTACGTTGGGCGGTGTTCCGCACAACAACTTTTGACGACTCACGTTGTACCTATACCGCAGTATATGCACACGTGAGGAGGACGCGCGGTTTAGTAGTAGTGGGTCGGAAATGGAATCACGTTCCGCAGCAGCTACACAGGCGCCGTTATGGCTACCGAAATTGATAAATCATTACCTAGGTCATAGGTTAATAATATTAACCGATATTCTCGAGATATTATATGTATACATATATAGCAAACAGTATTCTATATTTTAGATAAATTTACCGACGAGGAAATTAAACACAGCAATGTTTATGAGCAAACAACCTTAACAACCTAACAACAGCAATTTAAACATATATAAATACGCGACGCACGCAATGTTATCATCTAGAAACAGACCACACACGCATCACTGTTGTTGCTGAACTTTCGTTATTATCTTACGAGGACGTGATGCCCGCGTGTGTTGTATCCGCATCTTACAAACCGATACGTATATAACTTATGATTAATTCTAAAATAAATTGTACAAAAATGACTTACCGATAGGTTTCAAATATGGAATTATTCCTGAGTTCCGCAATAATTTCTAAACATAAGAAAAATAGAAGTTATAAAATAATGATGTATAGCACAAAATCTACATTGACTTTTAAATTTTAATACATCCATAATAAATATAAATAAATAATATAAATAATATTAGTATCTATAAACGTAGATACGATATAAACGGAATATGATAATAAAATAAACAGAATCTCGGGTGGAACATAAACATTTAAAACGAATCGTTTTCATTGGTATTTTTTGTACTCGAATTTTAACGTAACGCTTGATTAGTAACAACTAACAATAGAAGGTTAAACAACAAAAGTTTATAAAATGTCATTATTAATACATTTAATTAGTAGGTCAATGTTCAATAATGTATTTTTTTTAAACACTTTTTGCATATATTATTAATTCTGGACAACATGTACTTGTATATGTACAAAAGAATAAACTCGAGAAACTTATTATTTTGTTTCATTTGTTACTTAAAATTATAAAAAAGTGAAAAGTAGAATTGTGAAAAATAGCACATAATATTATTATATAAGCCAAACATACATATTTTAAAAATCCTACATAATCATTTATTTTAGCTTTATTAATATATTCAGACCAACTTGTAGATATTTGAACACCATTTAAAACATTTATTATGATAAATAAATTAAATTCATGTGTACAAATCTCCTGTAATTTTTATTTTACTTTATTAATTTTGTTGGTTTTAGGATGAATAAATAAATAATAAATATAAATAAATAAATAAATATATATATATTATACTCGATATTATATTATTGTCTAGAGAAACGAAAAACACGTTAACTATAGGGATACCTAAATGACGTTGACAAACATTCCCATGGGCGTCGGATTCATATGAGCTGCAAGTATAATAATAATAATAATAATAATAATAATAATAAAATACTGTTATTAAAAAAAAATGTTTAAAAAAAACTCGGTCATATTTCATCGCGTCCACTTGGTGTTTGCAGTGACCATAATATGTGGCCATGATGATAATGCTTCTTGTGGGGATTTACGATCCTCCACACGTTAGGGGTTTAATGGACCCCCTCGGCCCGTTAACCTCTTTGCCTGCCCTGTGTGCAACAACCCCGCAAAACCGTTTAAATTAGGGAGAGCACGGTAAAATTGTTGCATGGGTTTTAAGTGTATGCTTTTGGTTTCGACGTCCGCACCCTTAAATATGGGCCAACTGGGTATATACCTATATATGGTGGTTTGTCCACCGATCCTACGTGCTTGGGTATTAATGATTTTACAATGTTTCCTTAATTGGATGATGAGCCCGACTGTAAACCAAATAAGTAGGCTTCAATATAATTGTTTAGAATGACGAAATCATCATATTATAGTAAAATATTAGCATTCGCATAAGTGATGCAAAATATAGAATACTGTGCGAGTATATTGTAGGACATGGGTACTGATGGCACAGTGAAGAACGATGATAAATTTCTTTAATTTTTCTTGTAAATTGCGAAACAAAAATATAGCACATTCTGTCGTTGACAATTAAAATTGTTTTTCATGTTTTGATTTTAAATTAGTAATAATTATGTACCTACTTAAATAATACATTTTTTGAAATCCGTGAAAAAAAATATAATAAAAACTCTGCTCAAGCACAGTTTATATTACACTCAAATAATTCAGTAATAAGTAAATTTGCACTAATATTGACTACCTATAAACAAATTGAAGTAAATATCCGATTAGTATACCAATTTGTTATGGTACGCGTGAGTAAGACTGGAGGGGAAATAAGACCGAGGGTACGACTCGGGGTACGACGTCTTAATAATAAATGACTATTGTATATTAATTTTATTAATTTTATTCTATAATGATCCTAGAACAAGGACTATCCAGTATCTAATAATGAACAACCCAATGGAAAAACATTTTTCATTACCTATTGTAAACCATAACTTAGTGAACCGCTGAATTCCGATAACTTTCCAAACTATATTAATTATTAACCCCAAACTCAATTTATTGAGCAGCATTTCAACACTGTTATCTTAAAGTAAATAGTAATTTAGATGGCTAAATTTATCAATATTATTACAATGAAATCATCCCAAAATGTAATATCTTTACCTAAGTATTTATAAAGATAAAATAAAACAAAAAAGTGTTTTTTTTTTTGGCCGAGGTAATCCTCTGAAACTACTGAATTGATTCCATCGGGTTCTACATCGATGAATCGGGCCCGATCCTCTAGTTGATATCTTCTATGCGAGTATATAACCGACCCGACTCTTGCACCTGGAAAGCAGAGCGGTGAAATTGGAGTACACATACAGCTGTCCGATATATAACACCTTTACATTAAAAAAAAAAACGAAATCCCGAGCAGAGCAATATGCTATAGAAAAGCTTAGCTATACATAAAATACAGGCAATGAAAAATGTATTTAAAAAAAAAAATTAAGATCGAAGTAATGTTAAAATGAGATCTAAATTTGTGCATATTGGACATTTTAGAATAGGAAACAATCTTTCATCATTATCTTGGCAAAATACTGTTATACACGAGGAGAAAGAAACTTTCTACAAAGCTGTTCTCCTGTAAGCGTGAATTATTGCTCAAGTTTCATAAGTACAGAACTTGAAGTGAATATTTTTTAGTGTTACAAAGGCCATTTACAAAAGGATGGGCCACTTTCTTACATTCAATACGGATATATATACATAGCACATCTGTGCAACCAAATATCGTTGGATTGAATGTCTCAAAAACTGAAAAATGTTCGATTTCATACGTTACAAAAATAAGTTTCTGATGACAATGCAATAATCATGTCAATTTTATAAAAGACGATTTCTTAAAATTTAAAATCTCCGTTAACAATATAAATTTAAAAAGTTGGTAGTGAAAAATACATTTCATAGGAGGTAGGTTGTATTTTATTAAACAAATTATATTTGCCTTTTATATATATTTCCCCAGTATAATGTATAGCTACTATTTCGTATATTATGCATTGGTACATAAATAACTGGAAGGGCATAAAATGTAATAAAACTCTATTTAACTGTAGAATACCTACCTAGTAAAAGGTTAGGTAAGGTTGGAAGATGGTATTTTGTGACAGTTTTGGCCGAAGGTACACCAGTGCAGGGAAAAAAACTGCCACGACCCACTCCATGCCCGTCGCAAAAACCAGGCCGGTTAGAGTACTGCCTTGGTGTACGTTTGGCCTTAAGTACTTGTAATTTGCGACACCAATAGGTAGGTATATATAGGCGCCAATAGATGCGCGTGTAATTTGCGCAAAATATATAAAAAACAACAAGCAATTTACACCATACCTAAATGTTAATTTTGGTAATCTACGACATGACAGAAAACGAAAAGGCTATATATGTTATCTGCGCCACACGTTCAATTTGAATGATTAGGAATTTAAATGATCAATTTACCGGACTCACATCAGTTAGCAAATAAGTAAAACGTGAATAGATAACATGGACTATTTATAACACAAACATTTGGACAATGAATTAATATATTTCTAATTTCTTCATATTAACTGAAATAATGCTTCGAATATACTTATTTATGCATAAAGTACGCGTATACTCACAATAACAATACAATATAAGCTTACATTGTTTATTTCACTGTATGTATATATTTATTGAAATGTGTCTATCAAAATGAACTTGATTCATGGGATAAAATATAAATTAGAATAAGTTTAAAAATCACTATTAATTATTTTAAAGTGACGCAAATTACAATTTTAGTAAGTACAAGATTGCACAGGTTACCTACATAATGCCCTTTTGACTTTTGTCTAGTTTTATGTTGCGCAAATTACATTTTTTTTTGGAGGAATCTGCATACACCTGTTAGGTTATATAGACTTGGGTGTCGGGTACCTTAACCTAATCCGTAAGACACCATACCGCATGAATATGTATAATATTATGTAATGACTATAATATAAACATATACATAGGTAACACGTGTTAAAAATTAAAATTTTCATTCGTGTCAACTGATGATTCTTTTGTCAAATAATAATAATTTTTTCAAGAAAGTTTCTTTTTCTTTTCATAGATGTAAGTCGTTATAAAACAACATTTTTTGAATGAGAACATTCGTTTTTAATCTTTTAATCTAAACTCTAAAGTATAGACTATTTAACGGAATATCTACTACTTCCATAAATGGGTGCAAATTTAATTTTGAACGAGAAGTTTATACTCAAATTTATAAGTTATAAGTAGCTATTTAAAGTTAAGATGAGGTAAGCGGAGGGACACAACGCACAGAAGTCGCTCCACTACTCTGTGAATACCGAGGTTAATACAATCTTTAAATACTTACACCTATCAATAATGAACTAATTGTCCAAAAATGTGTTTTAATATCAAAATTACGAAATACTCGGAATAATATTCTCCTTCGTAATAAAATTAAAAATATAATATGTTGCCATACACTACTATAAAAACTTAAAAACGATTAAGATTAAAAAAAGTAATAATTATATATGATTGTTTATCAAACATTCTATATAGGCAATATAATCTAGCAAACATGTACCTAGGTGAAACAGTTTTTTGAAAGAATGCGAGTTTCTTTGATAAAAGGATTTCCGAGGATTTCCCTGTGTATAGTTTACAATATGTAATATATTAACACTGTAAACTGTATAAATACCTATAATGTATGTGTGCATAACAGTTTTTCATGTTTAGTGTTTGTGGCGGAAAAACGAGAAAAGGGGCCCCCTTTGCCTGGTCACAGCTATAATAAGAGGGTTTGGTACGGATTGCATTAGAGTCGAGTGGTATTTTTTTTACAACACTCCACTCTTTTGGTCGGAGTACATGACAAAGCCGGTTGATTGAACGACTCACATGCATCTTGGACGACCGGCGGTGACGACAATGGATGTGGAATTAAAACCTGCAGGAGCATCCAACCGTTTCGATTAATCGAACTCGTGGCCTTAGGGGACGAAAAGTAGACGAATAAAAAAAAATAAT